TTTTTTTTTTTTTTTTTTAGAGGTAGGGGCTCATGAACTATTTGTCCAGGGCTGGCTTTGAACCTTGATCCTCCCAGTCTCTGCCTCCTGAGTAGCTAGGATTACTGGCATAAGCCAGTGGTGCCTGGCTTATCTATTTCTTCCTGAGTGAGTTTGGTAATATACAACTTTTAAGAAATTAGTTCATTTCATATAAATTGTCAAATTTATGTATATAGAATTGTTCCTAGCATTCCCCTACATGCTTTTGAAGTCTGCAGGGCCTTTGTTGATATCTTTGCTTTTCTTCCGTACTGGGGTTTGAACTCAGGGTCTATACCTTGAACCACTCCACCAGCCCTTTTTGTGAAGGGTTTTTTTTTTTTTTTTTTTTTGAGATAGGGTCTTGCAAACTATTTGCCTGGGCTGGCTTGGAACCGCGGTTCTCCCGAATAGCTAGGATAACAGGCATGGGCCACTAGCCGCCTCACCCGTATCCTCCTACCCCCTTTTATAAGTTTTCTTAAATTCCTGATACTGGCAATTCTTTTTTTGTCAGCTTCGTTATACATTTATCAATTTAAAAAAATTTTTCAAGGGACCGTCTTTTAGTTTCATTTTATTTTTCTCTATTTTTTGATTTTTTTGTTTTCATTTATTTGTTCCTCTATTATTTCCTTACCTGTTTTGGGTGCATTTTGTGCTTTTGTTCCCCCTAGTGTTTTAAAATGGAAGCTTAGATTGTTGATTTTAGACCTTACTTCTTTTGCAATATAGGCAGTTAAGCTATAATTTTCATCTTAATTTCTGTTTTAGTAGAAATTTGATACACTATTTTTTTTGGCGGGGGGCGGCGCTGGGGATTGAACCTAGACTCTTGCGCATGCTAAACAAGCAGCTTCTATCCCTGTCACACACGCCCGCCGCCATATTTTACTTTAATTCAACTAAAAATATTTGAGTTTTCTTCTTTACGCATTATTTAGATGTACACATCTAAGTAACGTTTATTTCAAAAGTGTTCGGAGATAATAATAGATGTACAGTTCAGTTCCATTATGATCAGAGGATACTGTTTAATGACATCGCTCCAACAGTACGTCGAGGCCAGGAGGAAGGTCTTCAGCGAGGCGTGTCCTCATACCCAGGGGTTTCAATCTCGCCATTCACCTGCCTGGCTCTTGACCTCTACACTGCCTATAGGAGTCCTGGGATCCCGAAATCTAGGACCGGAGTGCGTGCCTGCGTACGTGCGAGGCGTGGGCGGAAATCCCGCCTCCAGGCGCCTGCAATTGGTCCTGACCACAGTGGGTGAGCCCCAAGAAGGAAGATGGGCGGTATTGAGGGAAGCTGGCGAGTTGGGAGGAGCGGCGAGGGATCCCCTCTTTTTTATTGGCTGGACTAGCGGGAGCAGTCTCATTGTGATTGGCTAGATAGCAGTCCCGCGTCAGTCGGCCCCTCGGGCCGCGAGCGGCGCCGGGATCGCTAGCGCCGGCTGGAGCCAGCGGTAGCTGGGGCTGTTCCCGCACGCTGGCGGGGCGAGGCGGCCGGGCAGCTGCACGTCAGGTCCTGGTCCTTGGGGCGCTAGGGCGGCCAGCGGCCGTGGGGTGGGTGCGGACCGGGGGTGAGGGGCGCCGGAGTGGGGGCGGTGGGCGTTGGCGCCGCGGCCGGACCTGGGCCTGCGCGGACCGCCTGCTGCGCGGTCTGGGCTGTCTTTCCTTTTCCAAGTGATTGTTGTGGATCTGTCGGCAGACCTGACTTTTGTTTGATTCGTGTCACGCACCACGCACTGGGCTGGCGTAGAGCAGCAGATGCATGCCGGTGTCATTTGTCGTGGAAGTGATGGGCTTCCTGTCGTGTGCTCGTGTGGATGCCTTTTGGATTTAAGGGAAGGGGATGACATTGTGCATTGGTCTCCCGTGACCGTCATTCTCAGGGTCTCGTTGGCTTATTGCAAACACTGTTGGAACTAGGATTTCCCTTTCTCCTCCTCCTTTCTCCATCTTCCCCTCACCCAAGTCCTCTTTTCCCTCTTTGCTTTTTTTCTCTCTGCCGCATTAACCTTTGCAAAATTTTAAAAAGCTTTAGGTTTTCAACGTTTGTGTTTTACTTGCAGGCCTGAGAGCCCGGAGGAGGCGGCAAGATGCCCTCCGAATCTTTCTGTTTGGCTGCCCAGGCTCGACTAGACTCCAAATGGTTGAAAACGGATATACAGGTGGGCTTTATAGGCTTTCTTCTGGTGTGTGTCTGCCTCCATATTTAAGTTTCTTTTCTTTCTTTTTTTGGAAGATATATAAGGGGTTGTCAATTATGTCTTGCTATATTAGAAAAGCAGGTTTATCTCCTGTAATTTAAAATGTAACAGTGATTGTGGATTTTTTTTTTTAGATTACGTGTCGCTGCGCTTTTAAGTTATTTGTAAGTGCAAGAAACTTGAGACCTGGTTGTATTTTTTCTATTATTATTGTTATTACTATTTTTTCTAGTGTTATTAGGAAGTCTGCATCACTCTTACCCATGACCGTTTGCTTCTTCTTAGCTTTTTTCTTGTTTTAGACTGTACTTGGGTTGAACTCGGTCGTACTGGTTGCTAGGCAGGCACTCTGCCACCTGACCCGTGCTCCTGGCTTGGTTTTTACCGAGTTTCTTGAGATGATCCGTTAACCATGTGGGGAACAATGAAATGACAGGTAGTAGCTTCTTTATGGCTTGCAGAAACTCACTAAATTTATGGGATCTTGTGTTTGTGTTTCTGGAGAGATGAGTTAGTTCAGTGGAGCTGTTGGTTTTATATTTATAACAGGTCTTACTAAGACGAATACTCAGATTTTCCCATCAGGAACATGAAGAAACAATGTTGACTTTCTCTAATGTTTAATAAGATAATTGCAAGCGTGTCAGGAAATTATGAAATAAATAATGACAGTAGTATTCTTGTATGCAATTCTTTGCCCCTAAGGTAGCTTTGTTTGTGAATGGCCTGGAAAAATTAGTTTTGGAATTCCATATCACCAACAAAAAGAAGTGTCTGAAATATTTTTTGGTATGTGGTTTTTCCTCCTCCCTGAAATTAATGATTTTTAAATATTTGCCCAGTAATCCATCTTTTATAGTAGTCTTTAATAATTCACTAGGAGTCATGTAGTCTTTAACAATAATTGATCATAGATGTTTGTATTCAAGTGTTATTACCGCTTTCTAATGATTTTTTCCTTTCGAAAGAGGTAATACAGAGCCAGGTGTTTTAGAGCTGTATTGTGGATGATGGGATTGTTATTAACGATGTAATGTTAGATAAGACAGCACAGAAATGGAGTCAATAATTTGTGTGTTAGTGAGTAATTTCTATTTCTGAAATCTTGAGACTCAAACTTTTTAAGAATTATTTTTATATTGGTGTTTATATATTTTGAGAAACTTTTTGAAGAATCTTATTTAATGAAGTTTTTTCCTTATTATTCGTAATTGAATAACTGTTAAATACGTTCGGTGTCTTGATCTAAAACCAATTTAATGATGAATTGATTGTTAGTGATGAGTCAGGTAGCTATACACAGAAGAAAGCACTATTTATGTCGCAGAGTGCTTCTTATTTTACTTATCATTTATTTGTGATACCAATATGTAGTCCTTCGTAGACATTTTGAATATTATTCAAAAGTCTTCCAAATACTTCCTAGGAATAAGTGAAGAAATTAGGTTTTGGATAGCACACCAGAAGAACAATGTATTAGAAATATTGTGGATATTTAAATAACATGAAAAAAGTGATTCATTTTATACAGTTTCTCCAGCATAGCTTCTTAAATACGAGGAAGAACTGTTGTTTTACCTTAAGGAGTTAGACATAGTTTCACTCTTTGGGGTGATACACTTGCAGATAAATGTTGTCCATGCAGGAAACCTTGTTATTTGTTGGGGATAGCTATCCTGGAATGGAAAACATCTCCATTCCTAACTTAGGCTTTTGTATTAGAAACAGAATTGATACCTGCTTAATGAATAGTATGTGGGAAAGACATATATGTGTAGAAAGATGTTTGGTAGGATTTAACAAATCTATTTTCTACAAATTATTTTTATTTGAAATGTTCTTGAAATCTTTAGTAACTTAGAAAGGAAAAAAATTTGGAATGTGAAAAATTCTATGTGTGTGTATTATAAACACTGTTCCTTGACTTCTTGATTATAGATGTTAGGGTATATCAGGCCTGTGATTCTGCAACTGATAGTGTCTAATGGAATAATCATTATATGCCAGGCTCTGTCTGTTTTTTTTTCATATTTGAATCACCATGTTTTCCTTTACTACTCTCTTGAAAAGGCAGTAAAACACAGAGATGAGAGATATCAGTCACATTACTATTTTTTTTTGTGCAGTAAAAAGTTCTTCTGACTGATGTGGTTGGTGTTTTGTAGTGAATCAAGAAGTCAGTTAAGTAAGCAAACTATAAAAAATAGTACATCATGACTTAAAAATTAGTTATTCCTAAAACATTTATTTGTCCATCTTGTGCAGGGCTAATGGCGTGTCATTGAGCATGGGTCCAGAATGGGAGTTACCCTACTCTTTCTTGCATAAGCTGCACTCAGATGAATTTCCTACAGTTTCTAATTTTGGGTTCTTTGAAGAGGCACATGAAATTAGATATGCACAGCAATTTTTTTAACCTTTTATTTTGAAATAAGAATAGACTTATAGGAAGTTGCAAAGAAAGTAAAGTTCACTGTGTACCCTTTAACCTCAGTGGTTACATCTTATTTAACTTCAGTGTGATATCAAAATCAGTGCACTGACATTGCTACAACTTGTGTGCATAGTTCTGTCATATATATCTATTCATGTAACCACCACCACAATACGTTTCAAAACATCAAGGTCATTGAGTACATCAGTGGTTAAACTCAGGATCATTTATAATTTGTTTTTTCCTTTTTTTATGGTGCTGGGGTTTGAACTCATAGCTTCATGCTTGTGATTCAGGCACTCTTATCTTTTTTCTAATTATTAATTTAAAATGATTAAGCATAAAAATAAACTTAAAATTAATCTTACTGAATGCAAATACTGTCACTGTTTTAAAAATATGAATAGATTAAAAAGTATAAGCATGAACATTTGTAAGTTTTATTCTCAGGGTTTTGACTAATCCAGTTGATTGACAATATGGCAAAATAAAAGAATGTGGTAAACTTAATTGATTCTTTTTTTCTTTTTTTGGTGGTACTGGGGTTGAACTAAGTGCTTCACACTTTGCTAGGTAGGTGCTCTACCACTTGAGCCATTCTGTCAGCTCTTTTTTGTGTTGGGTATTTTTGAGATAGGGTTGCATTGCCCAGAGATGGCTTCAAACCGAGATCTTCCGGATCTCTGCCTCCTGAGTAACTTGGATTATAGACCTTAATTAATGTTTTTAGAATTAGATTCCAAAAGATGCTCTTTATGTCTTAAATTTAAGAACAGTTGCCTCAATAGAAAAATTTTGTGTTTATAGAATTTCATGATAAAAAAAGAGGGTTTGGTATTTCTGTATATGACATTTTGTCAGGTTAATTTAAAGCATTATGCAGTACGATTAATTTGGATGTCCCTGTGCTGATATTTAAAAAGTCTCCAAATTGAAACTTGACACTACTGTTTCAGTTTAAAGACCAAACCCAAAAGACTGAATGCCTCACTGAGCTTTTTCAGTAATCCTATGTCTGTCCAACTGAAGCCATTTTTAGCACCAGACTTTACTTTGCTAAAGAAATGGAATAACAAAGAAAAGCAGTATATGGTTTTGTGTAACTTATCACAAGATTAATTCGGATACCATAACTGAATTTATGGTACAATATTGATGTTTTCCAATTTAAAATTATATAGCTTTAGTCATTTTTAGGTGTCCCTTTATTATAAAATAATCTTTCATGCAATAATCTTTCTATATATTGTACTTTTCCTTTGTAATTTCTATCTTTGTGCTGTAAATATTTTTAAGTGTTTTTGAGTATGTGTTTGTGTCTCCCATTTTCTTTTCCTAAACTGGGAGTAAAAAGTGTTTTTTTTTTTTGTTTGTTTGTTTTTTTGTACATTCCTGATTATAATTGCTGTTTCTGTCATTTCATGTTAACATGGCCAGGGCTACTTGACAGTTATGTTAGGAATTTAACACACATATGCATGGATTAAAAAATACTTTTAAAGAATATTTAAAAATTGGCCTTTTCTTTTTGTTGGTGCTGGGGTTTGAACTTGGGACCTTGTACCTGCTAGGCAGGAGCTCTACCACTTGAGACACACCCAGAGCCATTTTTGCTTTAGTTATTTTC